ATCAATTGATGAAAACAATAACACTATTAAAGGAATTGATGTCAAAACGAGGAATTCATACAAAGTCCAAATCGTTTGGCGAAATGTCATAATCATGTCTGCAATGCATGTTTTGGGCTTTTATGGCTGGTATTTGGGTATCAAATACTCTCGATGGCAGTCCTGGTTGTGGGCCTATTTCATTGGATTCATCGCCTCGTTTGGTGTGTTAGCAGGGTCACATCGGCTGTGGACTCACCGGTCTTATAAGGTCAACTTCATTAAACTAATATTCACTAATAAGTGCTTTAATGGTTATACATTGAATTATAAGTGTATATTATATTATCAAATATCTAAACAGGCTCACTGGAGATCTGATCTATCAGATCTGTTCTCTGCCCTAAGACTAAGCCTAAGAGACAACACAAATGCGCTCTTCTGTGAAATTTCTGTCATTTACCGTAAAAACAATTTTATTCAAATTGTATTCAAAAGTTTTATTCAATAAAAATATATACTTTTAGTGCATTAGATGTGGTATTTTACTGTAAAATTTGTGATCAAATAAAGTTTAATAAACTCAAAGAATTTTCACATTAGAATTAATAGAAAACTGTTTCAGTTGATAAGATGTGTTTTTATATCAAATGATTTAAAATTTAAATACAAATTCCGTTAAAAACTGATTTGAATTCTCAATAAAATTAACAGAATTTATGTTTTCAACGGTTTTTAACAGAAAACCCGTTATCTTTAAAACCACTGAAGAATATTTCAATGGTTTCACTCAAATTCTGGTATATTTTGAGCTATTCTTTAGTTATTTATAATTCAAATCTTATACTAAATAAACGAAAACTTAATTTCTTTTGAAAAGAGTTTTATTTTAGGAATAAATCAATTCAAACATAATTTTGATAAAAGTCTTTGGGTTTGAAGTCTTGATTCCGAGGGAACGACACTTCACTCCTCCTCTCCTCCGGAGTGCGATCTCCTTCTCCTTCTTCGTCGGCCACCACTTCTTCCCTTTGAATGGGAACGCCTTCGGAAAGTTTTATTCAATAAAAATATATACTTTTAGTGCATTAGATGTGGTATTTTACTGTAAAATTTGTGATCAAATAAAGTTTAATAAACTCAAAGAATTTTCACATTAGAATTAATAGAAAACTGTTTAACAGAAACCCCGTTATCTTTAAAACCACTGAAGAATATTTCAATGGTTTCACTCAAATTCTGGTATATTTTGAGCTATTCTTTGATTATTTATAATTCAAATCTTATACTAAATAAACGAAAACTTAATATCTTTTTGAAAAGAGTTTTATTTTAGGAATAAATCAATTCAAACATAATTTTGATAAAAGTCTTTGGGTTTGAAGTCTTGATTCCGAGGGAACGACATTTCACTCCTCCTCTCCTCCGGAGTGCGATCTCCTTCTCCTTCTTCATCGGCCACCACTTCTTCCCTTTGAATGGGAACGCCTTCGG